ATTTATTCACTTGGTTATAAATTATACATCGTAATTCATAATAATATTAAATTTAACACTATTTTTTTTGTTTCATATTATCTTTACAAGACATTAAATTTAACACTATTTTTATTGTTTCATCTTATTCTTTTCTCAAGTCCTCTTGTTTTCTTAATTTACCAAGACAACATTACCAATGGCGACTATCAAATTGACTAATGCGGAGTACTATTTTTCTAAATAATAATGATTGTTACTCCATATTTCTTAAAAATAGAGTAATAAAATTACTACTCTGCAATTAATTTCTAATAGTTAAGGAAATAATAGGAAATACTCCCTCTGTCCTAAAACTATCTTCCCACTTCTCCTTTTTCTCTGTCCTAAAACTACCTTCCCATTAGAAAAAAAAGATGGCAAATGACATTAATACCCTCATGTATTTACACCAATTATCTTCTAGCTCTATATTTTGAATGATTGCAAAAAAAGTTCAAAATTTTTTTTAAGGAGGATAAAATTTGAAGTCAAAGCCAAAAATTAAAAATGGGAAAAAGTCAAACTGGGAAGAAAGAATTAGGACGGAGGGAGTACATAATATTATCTCCGTCTCGGAGTATATGTCACGTTTTGACTTTTTTCAATCAACTGTTTTTAATTTGTGACCTATTATTAAATAAAACATATATTGTATATTACGGAGTAGTTCGATAAAGTAATATTTTGAACAAATGATATTTTAAATCCCTATGAGTAAGTTTTAAAAAAAAAATGAGACCTGCCAGTCTTTATCCCAAAATAAGGGGTACCTGGCAGCAATTTTTTGGGAATTGGTATATGGTACATCCGGATGTACCTAGAAATAGGTACATCCCGGTAGTACTCATTCTGAAATAAAATAGTACTAATTCTCGTACAAATATTAACATTCATTTCAAAATACGTAGTACTCATTCTGACAAAGGTAGTACTCATTTTAAAATAAAGTACTCATTTTTACACATTTATCTGATATAATTATAATAAATAGCGTAGTATTCATTCTTAAAAAAAACAATACTCTTTCTCAAATAAAAAAATATTCATTCTCAAATAACGAAATACTCATTTTCACACAAATTTTCAATATAATTATAATACTCCGTATTTATTTACGAATAATGTAGTTTTCATTCTTAAACAAGGTGATACTCATTCTCAAATAACGTAGTGCTCATTCTCAGGTAAATAGAGTTCATTCCTTTTCACATTTGAAAAATATAATATACGGAGTAACTAAAAACCCCACGAAAAAAACAAAAAAAAAATGTTCTAGTGCTGTAATTAATCAGTTGTGTTGTCGGTTTTATTTATTTGCTGAGGAAGAGGGACATGCCGGAATCTGAGTGTTGTAACTTGCAATTAATTCGTAGTGTTGTCGGCTACCCAAATTTATATGCAAATTTATACTACCTCCGTCCCTGAGTATTTGTCCACTTTTATTTTTGCACACCATCCAATGCACTTCTTTAATCCAATTTATCTTGTAATTTGTATATTAAAAAATTATAAAAATTATATATTAATAATCTATATGTTAAGACAAATCAAACAAGATCAGACATGACTATTTTTAGGCTTACACATTGAGAGAATTTGATGAGTCAAAGTGCTTAGATGAACAGTTCCAAAAGTCAAAAGTGGACAAACACACGGACCAAGTAGCACTTTCAATATTGGTTTCCCAGTTTCCCGAACCGCAGAGCTGCTGCGGCCACAAAGGAGGGCGGAGAGCAAGGTTCTGCAGACAAAGGAGACGAACATGGCGACGAAGACATTGAAGTGGACGGCTGATTCAACCCTAATTCTGATCAATTTTTAGCTGGATGTACGGAAAGAACCGTACATCCGGATGTACAATATAATTTGCGATTTTTTGGGGGAGGAGGAGGAGGAGAATAACGGAGAAGAAATATTAACGAAAGGAATGACGGATTATCACCCCGGAATCAGTTTTCGAATATCTTAAAGTACCTCAGAGTATATTTTGAAAAACAATGGGACCTGCCAGTCTTTATTCCAAAATAAAGGGTACCCAGCAACAATTTTTTGTTTGAAATATATAAAAATTTTATGTTTAAATTCCTAACCAATTTTCAACTTAATTAAATTAAAATATAAAAAACTCAGAAAAACAATTCTTGAATGGAGTCCCAATATACTCCATTGAATATCCATTCTTTTTTGTAAAAAAGCACCGAATAAAAAACTTGTAAAAAACAAATAATGAGAGCATCTCAGAAATAAGTCCCCAAATTCTCTTCACGGGTAATCAAAGTGCAAGGATGACGACTTCTGATTCCTCCTCATTGATGCCCTTCTTCATATTCCCAACCAACGTAAAAATTAAAATTAAAATAAAAATTGAGATTTTAATAAAATATAGATCTCAGTCGTATATTGCTCTTCCTCAATTCCGAGGCCGGAAATTGCAGATAGATAACGCAGAATTTCGTAGCATCACAGATCAATGAAAACTGGAAATCCCAAACGATGGAAAACGATACTTAAAATAATTTGAATAGAAGGGAGGATCTCAGAAAAGTGAAATACAAAATAATAAGTTAATCTTCATATTTTGAAGATTCAGATTGGGAATATCCTCATAGATCCAACTTACATAGAAATAAAACACGATAAGAGAAAACCAAAATGGACAGAAAAGATAAAATTTTTGGCGTTGTTAATGATCACTGGTTCGACACAAGGAGATGTCAATCCTGGCGTCCGTTTGAATTTATAGCAGAAGGGAAGGGAAGGGAAGGGAAGAAAGATGATTTAGAACCCTAGACGGACCACCACGGGAAATAATCCGTAATGCTTTAAGAAATTACATGGTCCGGCTCATTCACTTACAATCCCATTTGCATTTTTTATTTTAGAAATGTTTGATTCACAAATAAAATTGTCAGATCCTCACAAACTTATTATATATGAACATCATTAAAAAATTGTAATTTAAATCACAAATAATAAGTTTGTAAACCTTGTGATCATTTTATTTATGAACCTTGCACTTTTTATTGTGGATGTCGGTTTTGTTTGGAAATAATATTTCCAATCAACGTTAGTATTTTAAATAATTTTTTAATAGTTTAAATAATTTTGTCTCAAAAAAAAGTATAAATTAATTTTCAAAACGCTTTCACTAAGTGTTGACTAGTATATACTTCATCCGTCCCTGAAACTCTTCTAGTTTTGACTTTTTTAATCAAACATGGACATTTTTTGGTAATAAATTAAACATAACCTAATTAATTAAATGTATAAAAATTTGATTTATCAAAACCAAATCCTAAGATGAACCTAATTATATTAAATTTATATTATATTTCAATATACTTTTCTTACAATTTGTAATCAAAGAATGTCACTCTTTGACCAAAAAAATCAAAACAGAAAGAGTTTTCAGCATCGGAAGAATATATTCTATTCAAAACACTTAAATTGAAAGCTAAAATTATTGCCAAACAAGTTCTTGATGGAGTTGGTCTATGTGAAATTTACACTAAATAGGATTTAGACATAAGTTATTTTCCAATGTAGAATTTAAACTCTATTATTCCCTAAATAAGACTTAATAATGACTAGTGAGAAGAATAATGTCCAAGTGAAGCTGGACATTTAGTTGAATAATAACTAATAAATAATGACTAATGGTCCTACATTGGGAAATAAAAACATATGGTCCTATATTGAGAAAGTCATTATGTTTTAGTCTTATTTAGGTAAATCATCCATGATCTATTTCACTCAAAATATGATAAAATTAGTGTCTAAAACAATGATCCCACCGTCTTTTTTTATTCACAAACATCAACATAGAAAACAATTTTTACTAATTTGTCACATCTTTTATGTCATCTTGTATTTTATACAGGACTGATATTAAAAATCTATTCTTGAAAAAAAACTCTAATCTCTCCTCCCATTTTTTTCTTCTACTCCACCCCTAACCGCAAAAATGCTAGGAGATGCCCTCAAGCATTACAGAGGCACACATAAATACTAACAAGCAACAACTATGAAAGGGAATAACGACTATAACACGCTCCGCCTGTAGTCGGGATGCGCCGATGCCCTAGCAATACATTGTCCAAAATGATGATTCACTTTTTCATAGCTATAATAACTCCTTGACACAAGATTTTTGACGATATAGACACGTGATGTCTGTGTCCCCATAAAATGGTCTTTGTGTTGTGAGGAAGTATGATTATTTGAACCCCACATATACACATGTTTGTTTGAGGATTCACAAGCACACGACACCGACCCCCGATACGTGCATATTGTGTTTAGTGGTCGATCTACTTTACTCGGACTGGGAGCACCCGCAACCGGTCAATTTTATATATAAATTTCATTTTTTTACATCACAGTTTAACGTTATTTAAAAAAATTTCCAGATGCAGCCCGGAACACTGCTTTACTACTGGTTCCGTTATTTCAAATCCTAGATTTGTTGCCACAAGTGGTGGTCATGTCGTTACAATATATTATCTCTATGAACTTCTCACAAACACGTGATGTTTGTGTGAGCTGTTTGATGATGGCCGCTTACACAATTCAAGATCTTCGTTGTCAATTTATTTATTTTTTCCTTTTTTCACGTATGCAAAAATATTGAAGAGTGTGGGTATTATTTTTTCACAATCAGAGGGCATTAAATAGAGTGAATATTATTCTTTTTCTCCATAGAGCCAATAAAATTAAACATTTTGGACATTGTTCATCTGGAGTTGAATCGATGGATAGTATCAAAGGCGAGTGTGAGATTAAATTAGTGCTAGACAATGAAATCGCGAAAGTCGTTGAAAACACGATAGACATTAACGGGGCGCGGATGTTATGGGTGGCGGTAGTAAACATTGATGGAAACAAGGGTGCAATTTAAAAAAATGGAGCTGTTTATAATTTTTTTTTCTAGCATGAAACCTTAAGTAGAGAAGCAATTAACACGGAGGAATTGAAGAACACATGGAAACCACAAAGCCCTTGGTGCATGTCTTGTGTGTGTATATATATATGTGCATATATCTTGATCCATCAGCTAGCAAACCAAACCTATATATGACAGGAAAAACTGCACTGAAACTCTTTCCTTCCCCTTTTGCCCCTCCAAGGGCATGCAAATGACTACCACTAGGCTAGCTAGTATGTGTAATAATAAAAAATGGCTTGGGACTATAATGGTGTCTGTGTATATATGGGATTTACAACCTATGACTAACATGAACATCAAAACACAACCCCTCTATCTTTGCAACCCAACTTGATGATCATCAGCTTTGGATGTATTGCAGATACAACCCGGAAGAGGATTTGCATAGAAGTTCTCCTCTAATCGCGGCGAATCCCCCGCTTCTCTAAGGTATGGCGCTCCCAGCCTCTTCAAATGCAAGGCCTTCACCTCTGCTGAAAACTCATTCCAAGAAATCTCCCCCTTGTCCAATAAATCTATCCTATTTACAAAGTTTAATCTGCATTTATAACATCCAATTCGTAGTCATCATTAGTACATGAACGAAAATTCTTTTCGTACACCCAAGACGTTTTTCACATACAACACTTGTTAGTGAAAGTGGCACACCCACTAGTGTTATACATGAAAAGTAGTGTCTTGGTGTAACCCGGAGGTTCTGTGTGTGTCTGTGCAAAGAATGAGGTCATGGTAACCCCAGAATGTTGGGGTTACCCTAGCTTTATTATAATGTGAGGGAAGACCGGACCTGTCGGGGCTAATAGTCTTTAGGAACCCTTTGAACCGCCTATGCCCTTGCACGGCCTTTGCCATGTTCCCATCATATGTATAGACGAAGACGTCGCTCTGGAGGGCAATAATGTAATCCAAGGCAGCGAGCCGGTTCTGGTATGGCTTGAAAGGCTCCAACTCTTGCTCTGTCGCGAGGGTTGTGTGCGTGAACACGTTGGGGTACTCTAACCGGAACGCGTCCATGCTGTTGTTGCCATATATTTCCCCTGCAACAATGTATATCTTTGAGTTGGAGGGGTAGCCCAATGCCTTTAAAAACAGGGCTGCCTCCCTGGGGGACATTGGGCACCCACCCACCACCCTCCTTTGTTCGCTGTCGATCTCTTTCTCTTTCCAATGTTGCACGTTATACCTCATTACACGAAGCTCCTCCGCCTCCGGTTCACTCAAACTGTGACTACACCCTGTAAACGCAAGCATGTCCTTTTCGTACCTATAGACAAACAAGACTTTACTCCTCACCCTACAACCATAAGTTTGTGTATGGGTTGAAGAAAAAAAAAGAAAGGAAGTCACCTTAAATGAAGGGCAATGTAGGGATCATCATTTTGCCTAAGTCTATTAACCAGTTTCCTTCCAAGATCCTCAATGGAAGGCGCATAGCGAAGGGCCTCGTAGTTGGCACGACATCGGAGCTTCTGAATGGAGGGCGCGAGGCCATTGTTAGCAAGTCTTGAATCAGAGTGTGTGAATTTGATCACCTTATGTTTCTTTAGTAATGGCAGAATCTCTCCTCTATAGTAACTGGCCTGCACCAAATGTTAAATCATTTATTTCAAGATATAATAATAATACTCCTAAAATTAGTAGTTATTGACAATTTCCTTTCTTGCCTGTGACCAAGACACAGGAGCCTTAACCAAGGGATCAAACATAGAATATTTTGCTGGCAAAGATTCAACTATCTCAATATCATCTTTCAGTGCTGCAATGAAGTGCTTCCAATCAAAGATATCCTTAAAATCACTGCCAAAACAAGAAACGGGGTTTCAAAGAACCAACTCAACTAAAAGCTTAACCTGGGTTAAAATCTAACCGTACATACCTAGGATCGGTCCAAAAGGACTGGTGATCGAGGGAAGGAAGAACCAGAACCGCATTTAGAATTTTCGCTATCGCGACCATATCACATATCTGCAGTAAATTCACACACATTGTCAGATTAGTTCAAATTTCCAGACCAAAGAATTATTAACCATTTCTACTTACACCAGTTCTCATTTGATTCAGTCCTCCATTGGCATGGACTAAAATGTAACCATTTCTCGCCGCAGGCCTCCCTGAAAGATTGACAACCATAATAAATAAAACCCATCATCATCTTAATCAAAACAGTGGCAACCGAACGGTTTTGAAGAAGAAACAAAGGACAAAAGCTTTTGAGATTACTCATTTCGTTTGTTGATCGAGCAATGCAACTATAGTAGGTATTGCTGTTTGGTTTCGTCCATATTTCCGGTACCTGCAAAGAAAATCCGACAACAAACTCAGTTCCTAATTATGCTCTTCAGCTCCGATTTAAGCAAATTACTCCCTAATGCTAAAATAAATAAAGATTATCATGATTTATGAGCCAGAAAGGTCATAACGGTCACATTCAGAGTTTAACATTTCTAAGGCAACCAGCTTCCCGTGCTGCCCAGTACTTCACCGGTTGGTCAAATAAATACTACTGGCGTAACACAGATGAAAAAAGATTTGTTTTTTTTAATAAAAAATAGGTAAATTTAAAATAATTTTCTTGTTTTACCATAAAGCAATAGAGTTTTAAAACAAGTATATTGCATTATCTGCCGACAATCAGGGAAAAAAGTGTTAAAAGATACAAGAAAGCGTGTTTAATTGTCAAATAAAGTAATTTCAGGCATTAAAGTTTCGATCTTTAATCTGCAATAATTACTGTAACCAACAAAAAAAAGAGAGAGAAACTTACAAAAACCTCCTTCATCTGGCGTTTCAGAACAACATCCCCTGAAGATGAAGATGAAGATGAAGAAGAAGAAGAAGAAGAAGAAGAAGCTGATGAAGATTGAGATTCAGAAACGATTCTTTGGGCATTATTAGCCCAATCATTCTTGAAATTCTTGACAAACGGACCATTCTCCGACAACCTCATCGTCATCATCCCTTCATTAATCCCACCGACACTTCCATTACTTATGAATGAGAATTTGATGAATGCTGTGACAACCACCATCGCCAGCAGCATCCCGAGCATTGACCTCCCCGTGTTCTTTCTCGATCTAAAGCACTGCATAACCTCAAAAACCTTTAACAATATTTCTTCCCCTCTAAATATAATTTTCTCCGGCACCCTTTTGCGCACCGAAAGGTACCGCATAGCCGGATGGTGGTGGTGGTGGCCGCCGCCGCCGCCGGCGGCGCATCTGCCGACGCAGGTGGTGCTGCCGTATTCCGAATCCTCGGGGTCTCTGGAGAAATGGGTCGGCGCGTGATCTGTCAATTTCTCGGCGGCGTTCAAGAACTCCGGTAGATGACGGCGGTGGTGTGCAGCTGGGCTTCCGCCGGCGGGGCCGGTAGCTGTCGGCATTTCCCGGGGAGAGCAATGCTGAAAAAACCAAAAGAGAAAAAAAAAGTTACTTTTTGCGAAGAAAACGGATGATTGTACAAGGGAAGGCAGAGATTTTCCGATTGTGAGCCGTTGCTTGATTTCTGTGCATATAGAGAGAGAGAGGTGTACGGCAATTCTCTCTCTCTCTCTCTCTAAAGGTGCTCTAAAGTTTTTGTTTCTCTCTCTCTCTAAGAATTTGGGAGAGTATATATAGTATGGATTTCCACCAATTAAGGAAAGGTTTTACGAGAGTGTAAAAAAACCAACTCAGAATAGGGATGTCTAGTTTGGGTTGCCATGAAGCTAATGTGAAAAATACGGAGTATTTTTTTTACCTCTGCAAAAATTTATTGACATACGGAGTATTTTTTACTTAAAACTCCATCACAAAATACTAAATTTGAGCACAGACTTTGTTGAACGACCTTGAAGATTATCAAATGGAGAAAGATCAAAGTAAGATTAAAATATTGAAAATATATCAAAATAAGGTTTTCATGTTTTTATTCTCGAAATAGGATTTATATTACCATACATGGTCATATACATTACCAAAAAAATATAGTAATTTGCACATATACAATGTTACATTACCACAGTGCAAAGTCACATTACCACAGTGCAAAGTCCTATTCCGGGAAAAAACATGAAAGTTCTATTTTGGTACTTTTATCTATGTTTTAGTCCTATTTAGAGTGATTTCTAAGCTCGAAGTGACTCGCTAAAAATGGACCAGACTTAATCAAATCCGAACCCAACCTGACCGAAGATATTTTTTCAGTTTTTTTCTTATTGCTTATTTTTTATTAATACATGTATACTTTCAAACAATTTTTTGATGATATCACATAGTATCTTAACATTTTTTCAAAAATGATATTACTCGTAATTTTTTTTATATTATTTGTAATATTGTTAAATATATCTAAAAAATAATTAAAAGTTCAAAATGCAAATACTAATATAAATTTAATTTTCTAAAAATAATCTCATAACACGTTTGGTCGACCCGAACTCGATAACGCTGGATCATGAACATGTACTTCTCAATCCAATCCCAAACTTATCCAAACCCTATGTAACTGATACAGTAGTGATCGCTAACTCAAACCCGATCCTACGACCGATTTGGTGACGTAAGTACCCCTTGATTAAGTGATATGTATTTCACAAAAAACCAATAAACTTTTAATTAAAATAAAAATATTCCATTTAGGAATTCATATAAATACTTCCAGATTTAGTCAATTACATAATATTACTCCCATGTTTTCTTTCCCACACCATTACTTCAATTAAAAAACAACTAGATTTTACATGAAGCATGCTACATGTACCCCAAAATTTGTACCTCATTTGTATACCAAAGGTATGCACCAAAATTTTGATGGTTCACACTGATACAAAGTGTTTGTGCGTTAACAAAAATTTATATTGACACAAAGTGTTGATGCGCTATTGCGTTAATAAAAACTAGCATTACACCAACATAAAAAGTTGGTGCATCCCTGCAGTATACAAAATGGGGTACAAATTCTTTGGGTACAAATAGCATTTTTCATTTTACATCACTACTCCAATCAAATTTTACATCTCTACTCTATGAATTTTAAATCGTTACTCAGTCGATGAGCATCTATACTCTACTTAAAAAAAGGAAAATTCCCTATTGCATTTTCTCGCCTATATGTTTCAGTCACAAAAGGTAAGTGCTAAAACTAGAACTGTTAAGTACAAAATGTAGGTGCCGTGTATAAAGTAATTAATAATTATTAATTATTATGGTACCGTGTAATAATATTAATAAACGTAATACTACCTTCGTCCCGCTATATTCGTCCAGTTTTGACTTTTGGAACTGTTCATCTAAGCACTTTGACTCATCAAATTTCCTCAATGTGTAAGCCTAAATATAGTCATGTGTGATCTTGTTTGATTTGTCTTAACATATAGATTATTAATATATAATTTCTATAATTTTTTAATATACAAATTACAAGATAAAATGGATTAAAGAAGTGTATTGGATTGTGTGTAAAAATGAAAGTGGACAAATACTCTAGAACGGAGAGAGTAATAATTATTGGAAAAGATAACATGTGAAACTTTAATAATAATATGGTAATAGTATGATACCGTGTAATAATAATAAATGTAATTATTATTGGTATCGTGTGTAATAAAAAAGGTAACATGTGAAACAGTAATTATTAATTATTATTTATTAATAAGGTAATTTCATACTGTAATATTTTTAAATTGTGTAATAAAAAAGGTTGCATGTGAAACTTTAATTATTAATTATTATTAAGGTAATTTCATACCTTTAAATTTTTGGTACGGTGTAAAAAAAGGTAACATACAAAACTGTAATTATTAATTAAATTACTCCGTATTATTTATTAATAAGATAGTTCTATACCTTAAAAATTTTTAATGCCGCGTAATAAAAAAAGTAACATGTGAAACTGTAATAATTAATTATTATTTATTAAGTGCTAAAACTTGAAATATTAACTGCAAAATGTAGGTACCGTGTATAAGGTAATCTCATAATTATTTACTCTCTCACAAGGTATAATCTCATAATTATTCACTTTCTCACACAGTATAATATTTACATAATTATTTATCTCAATAAATGTGATAATATTATGGTATTGTACATTAATATTCCCTCCGTCCCGGAGTATTCGTCCAGTTTTGACTTTTGGAACTGCTCAACTAAGTACTTTGACTCATCAAATTCTCTTAATGTGTAAGCCTAAACAAAGTCATGTATGATCTTGTTTGATTTGTCTTAGCATATAGATTATTAATATATAATTTCTATAATTTTTAATATACAAATTACAAGATAAAATGGATTAAAGAAGTGTATTGGATGGTGTGTAAAAATGAAAGTGGACAAATACTCTGGGACGGAGGTAGTAATAATTACAATAAGAAACGTAATAATAAAAATATTTAAAAATATTATGGTAATATAATAATAATAATAATAAGGTAATAATAATAATAATAATAGTAATAGTAATAATAATAATAATAATAATAAAGGTAAGTTTGTTTTGTGCTATTACCATGTATTAAAGAAACTACCGTGTATAAAATAAATGAAAGTGTTGCCTTGGTTTAAGAAAAAATGTATTCTCATACTTCCTTATATTTTCAGGTCCAAAATAATAAATTATAAAAAATTAGACGGTAAAAAATACAATGAAATTTTAAAGTATGGAAATTATAATCACGGTGTGAAAAAATACGATTTTAACTTAAATGTGTTTTCATTTACACCTTATAGGTATTTTAAATAATGTAATTTCATTATACACGGTTTTTTGGAAAAATACATGTTAGTAATAAAAAAAGTTAGGTGGAAACACAAATATTGAAATGCTAAGTAAAAATGGTTGTGATTCTGCCAAAAGATTTCATTGTATTTAAGAAAATAAAAATTTGAAAAAAGGAAAATATAATAAGCAAAAAAATCATAGTATAATTACGGTCATTCGCAATCACTTTTGCAATTAGCTTTTGTGAAGTGCGTTTTCAAATCCTCCATTCGAACAAAATATGAGGATCTTAACCGCTTAAGAATTATTGATGAGAGGCCATCACTTTTGTTGTTAAAACTGAGAGCGATAAGAGTTTATCATGTTTCCACCCATTGTAGATTGGCTGAATCATTTAATGTTATTTTTCACAATTCAAAGGTTAGTTCTTTTATTAATATGAATCTAAAATACTTATATATTAACGATGTTGTAATGATTCTTATATGCACTTTTTCCTTTGCATTGTTAGGGAGATCGAATGCATGCTTAGATCAGAGATTCGAATATACACACTTTCAAAGAAGATTTGAAAGAAAATAATGTTTATTTACTGATGAGAGTCAATGTACTATGCAATTACCAAACAACGAAAACTATCAATCACCCTTTCATGCTACAATTCTTTAGGAGGATGAAGCTTCAAAAGAAAATATTCCCACAAATTGTACTTTAGCACAATGAAGCTTCAATCACCCTTTCATGCTACAATTCTTTTGAAATTTGTAAAGCAAAAAAAATTTTGTACCTTAAAATAATGAAATCTCTATATTCTATTAGATATCATTTGTTATCATTCAAAAATTAATGATCTTAATTAATTTAGTAGCGTAAATATGACATGTGTAACATAGGGGCGTGATACTAGTCAGGATTAATTGCGTGAAATTGTTTTAACTGACATATGAAATAATGAATTAGTGTTGAAATATTGGAATAATAATATTTCTCATTGAATTATGAAGTACATGATAGAGTATATATAGGAGAGACTCCTAAAACAACTAGGAATAGAGAATGGAAACTAACTAACATACAACATCTACCACAAATAGGATTAGGAAGCTGACTAATAATGAAACACTACCATAACCAATCCTACAAAAAGTACTATTAGTATTATTGTCTAACATCCCCCCTCAAGCTGAACTCTGGCTGAAACAAGAGGAAGCTTGGACATTAGCTAGAAACTGGAAACTTTGAGAAGAGAGAAGTCTGACATGCGCCGGTGGCTGCTCACGTCGTTGGAGAAGAGAGAAATGTGACGCGCGCCAGTGGCTGCTGACGTCGTTGGAGAAGAGAGAAGTCTGACACGCGCCGATGGCTGCTGACGTCGTTGGAGAAGAGAGAAATGAGACGCGCGCCGGTAGCTGCTGGCATCGATGAAGAAGAGAGAAGGTTGACGTGCGCTTGTAGCTGCTGACGTTGAAGAAGAATAGAGAAGGCTACTGAAGGTGTCTGTTTGACTGAAGATCCTTGACGTTTTTTGTCTTTTTCTTGGATCCGGGCAATGCCCTATTTCCTTCTTGAAGGGGTGAGTTGTAGAGGTCTTATTTCCTCTTTCACTATTTCCCCTTTTGGTTTTGCTTTTGTGCTGATTTACTTTGGATTCTTATTGGTTCAATAGGAGAGAAAGAGGAGGGAGGTTGATGATTAGAATGAGTGATTTTAGAGAGAAAAAATAGGTTAAGAATTGGTGATGGAAAACAAAATTGGGTCTGAGAT